ATGGACATGACCAAAACTTCAGTCCGTCTCCATGACCAAAGCAGAATAGACTGGACCCAGGGGCTAAACTGGCTAAAGACTTACTTTACCCAAGTTATGGTCCTGCAACTTTTGTTTGGAGGCAAGGTGCCTGCAACCCAGTAGTAACGGAATATTAAGATCAATAGCCCTGGATAGACCTGACCTCTGTATACATTTATCCTTTTAAAACTATCTAGATTATAATCTCCACATCTCACGGCAATGAATTCCAGAGTTTGGTGTGCTATGTGAAGAAATAATCTAATTTTGTGTGTTCCAATCTCCTTTCAATGAATTCCACTGATGATCCTCAATTGTAATGTTTTGACAGGGGAAGAATTTTCCTCAATGGATGAATGGCTGCAAAAGTTGGATTTAGCAGAGATGGCTAAATTGACTGTTTTGATTAAAGAAAATACTATTACTTTTGTTTCTACTTGGAAACCATTTTTGGACTTGGTGCTTGAGGTGGAAAAAAATGAAACATTAATTTTGGGTTTTGTTGATAGATTTGTTATAAAAACGGCTAGTATGTATTATGTAAAAGTAAAAAGTTTAGGTTGTATGTGATTACCTTATCAATGCTATTTTTTCTTTCCCCTCCTCTATCCTGCACTTTTTCCTCTCCTTTTCCTCCCTTACTTCCCCATTGTTTTAATTTTTCTTTGCATTTCTGTATTTTATATTTTGATAAACTAATAAAAAATAATTGACTGAAAAATAGGGGGAATAAAAACTTCTTGTCCTTTTTTTTTCCACCTAAGGAATCTTAAACTTTTTAGCCTGTTCTCAGAAGAGAAAATATTCAACCTACTTGAACTGGGTTTTTTTTGCCCAATTCTTTTTCCTGCTCTATTAATATCCTTTTTCTTTTCAAACATGGAGATCACATAAATATGAAAACATAGCCCAGAGTAAACACCACAGAACACTTAATTAAAATTAGAAATTCACAATTTATTTCAAATAAAACAATTTCAGGAGGGGAAAATTGAAAGGGCTCTTTCTCCTCTGCCCTCTTCCCCTCCTAATGCCGGAAAAGTGTTGGCAGTTTCTTGAGATTGCTTTCCCCCAAATCTCGGTGAGGGACAGAGCAAAGGCAGCCATGATAATGTAGCACTCTGCGTAATAAAAAAAAAGCTTCCATAGCAGAAGCTACTACCTGAAAATTTGGAACAGTCCAGACTTGAGCGAGCACGTAAGTTGTTTTTGTTTTTTTTTACAAAAAGTTACTAAAGTGAAGTTGAATTTTGAAAACCAGAAACAAGAATTTAAATGGATCAAGACAGTACAGTAACAAAAAGTCTTCAGTTCTTTCTGTAACATTAGCATGGCATTATGTGTTAAAAGAAAAAATGTGATTTTTTTTCTGCTACAGAATGAATGTTAGAAGAGTACAAGCATAAAACTGGTTACAGAATCTCTCCCTTATCTGCACAGCCTCTACTGCTTTCTGTATGAAAGCTTTTGATATGTACAGAATTCTACTGGACAGGAGAACTGGATACTACCTACATGCTTCAAGGTTTACTATCAGGAGGTGGTTATTTGCCTTAGCTTTCTGTACTTCTCTTTTAGAGCAGAGGAAGGCAAGTTGTGAGAGGGAATTTTAAAAGTAAACCAAACTAAATGAAATAAACACCGCGATCAAGGGTAAGCCAAGTCAACAATCTCAACGTGCAGAGTGAAGGATGAAAATAGCTGCCAGGTTGGCTTAGGCTAAGCCTGATGGAACAAGAGGAAGACCAAAACTCCTAGTATAGGATGTTAATCTGCTCTGAGGGAAATGTAGTGCCTACCTCTTGGCTTAGATGTCCCTTAGTTACAGTCCATTTCATCACAAAGTGAAATTCTCGAACAAGGTTTTTTTTTTTTTATTGTAGGCTCACTTTGAAAAATGCTACAGAATGAAGAGAATATATTTCTGGAGGAAGGACTGTTTTCTGCCAATGATAAAAACTTTTAGATAGCACCCAATCATTGTGCTGTTCTAGAACAGGGAAGATAAGAAAAAGAGGTAGGGAATCCACTGATCTCTAAATTCTGGGATAGATCTATTGATTCCAAACTTAGGATCAGCTGTGCGGTAACACCTAATTGTATTTGTCACCCATCAGCTGAGCAGATTCCTCCTCTCGGTGCAGCCATCTCTTCCCCAAAACCTGGAGGGCACAGAGGGCCGAGCCAGAGACCAAAAGGTGAGAATATTCTCCTGAGCAAGCTTCAATATGTTGCATTATGCGATGTGACAGTTGTATATTACATCTTAGTACACCATGTGAGATTGGATCTAAGCATCTGAACAATATGCCAAACTTTGGAGACAAGAGAAAACTTTGCCACTGCAAGTCGTGATTGTGCTACAGTAAATTCAACCAATTGCAGGTATTTGGCAGCTGTAGCAAGTAACACCACTCGTTTGCACTGGATAATTCTGAACAAGAAACATGTATGCTTTGTCTTAGTTAATTTCATGAGCAGAACAGCTCAGTCTGAACGTTAAAAGTTTCAAGAGGAAAAGATGCTCACCTGCCTCAAAATCTGAACTTTGTGTAAGCAAGCAAGCAAGATCAGGGCAGCATTACTGAGGAAGTGAAGGAAGCCAGCAGTTTTCCCTATCAAGATGCCAATCATTTTGTGCAACACTGAACAGAATTAATGCAAACAGATACCTTAGTAAGCAGTGTCTGACACACACACTGAACATTTTGCATTTGATAAAAGGGCTTGCCTGTTTCTACGTTTCAAAGCCCAGCAGTGGTTTTCATGCAGAGAAATTAAAACATTTAAGCCAGAAAAACAAGCATGATCTCTGTTTTTGACAAAGAAATGAGATTAAAAGAGCAAACCTGCTGAGGTCATCACACCACATATGCTACCAGGGTCCAGTGGAATGGGCAAAGGGAAAGAGCAAGTGTGAATCTGGGTAAAGTTCACTTTCTCTCTGCTTTCCCAACAAGCTTTTTACTTCTTCCACCCACTGGCTTAATGTGAGGTTAACTGGGAACAGAGAAGTCACGTTAGGACTTAGGCTCTAGGAAACAAGCTTATCATTTTCCTTGGGGTGCCTGAGGTAGTAGTGGCAGCAGCAGCAGCAGCTGAATGGAAGATGATGGCTTGGTTGATGACCTCCAAAAGCTAGGACAAAATCTAAGATGCTAATAAAATAACTTTCACCGAAAGGCTAGGAAAACAGGTGGTTCCTGTAAAGCTTTCTAATCCAAATCCCGAAGGTCACAAGCAATGCACATAGAAAATCTCAGTGCAACATGCTCTTGTAAACATGGATGCAAGGAAATTCTGGTTTCAAGACATCGAATGGAGCAATTTCCGGAAACCGCAGCTCCGTCTTCCATTTCTAGACAGATTATGAGTGGAACCTAATTATGTATTTTATATAGCTGTTTTTATACATTTTAAAAGCTGGCCTCTAATGTGAACTGTTGACATTACACACATTTCAAGAGTTAACAAAACTCTGCCAGTTAAGCAGCCACCTATGATTCTTAACAGCAATTATGAACTATTTTGGCAGTGGTTTGCTGTCCAAGCTTGTTTCAAATTAGTTTCTGAACGTTTTGTTACCAGACTAGGTAACATCAGTAGGATTTTCTTCTTCTATTTTCCTTAGCTTATAAATGTCTTGTGGGCCAGTGTGTCAGCTGGTCATGTAATTGGTTGTTCGTTTGGAGCTATAGTTAAATCCTGAGCAGCTGATTGGTTCTCTTGTTGAATGGTAGTTTGAATGGTCTGGTTTCTTATATATTCATATGCTGGATCTAGATCAGTATGTTTATTAATTGCTCCTTTGGTAGAATACCAGGCTTCAATAAAGTCTCGTGTGTGACGGATGTTGGCATGCCCAGTGAAACACCTGAGTTTATTGAAGCCTGGTATTCTACCAAAGGAGCAATTATAAGCATATTGATCTAGATCCAGCATATGAATATATAAGAAACCAGACCATTCAAACTATCATTCAACAAGAGACCCAATCAGCTGCTCAGGATTTAACTATAGCTACAAACGAACAATCAATCACATGACCAACTGACACACAATACATTTATAAGCTAAGGAAAATAGGAGGAGAAAATCCTGCTGATGATATTACCTTAGTCTAGTCACAAAATATTCAGAAACTAAATTGAAACAAACTTGGAGAGCAAACCACTGCCAAAATCTATACCCCGAGCCACAAATATTTGGTATTATTTCAAAATTATGAACTATTCCCCATGTTTTTGCTGATTACTTTTTAGCTAGCAGCAGAAGAGTTTCAAAAACAGTGGTGGCTTAAGTTAAGCAGGATCTGACGTATGCTGGTGTGTGTGTGTTTTAATCACGAATTTAACTTTCCCTCGATATAATAGAAAAGTCTGATTTTGTTATGGTGGTAGAGGTCAACTCTGATGTATCACCTTCTAGCCATATAAAGAATCAAGACTGTGCAGGACTGAGCTGCACAGATATGCAAGTTATGGCCCAAACATGGCTTGGTCTACTGCCCTAAACAAAACTAATGCTCAATCTTATGCTGCCAAGAAGCCAGGTTATGCTACTTCAACTCCTCCAAGTATTTTAAATCTGGCAGTAGGTAGCAGTCCAGGAAAACCAAACAAAGCAATAAATCCATGCGGGAGATCAACTTCATGTTGATGGACTGGAACTGTCCCCATGCTGCCTCGAGCTTTGCCCTATTGCTCCAGCTCAGTCAAAGAAGCAGCACCTTTGAACACTTATGCTGTCCTTTGGCAACGGCTGATTCTGCGTGGCCCAGGCCCTGTCCATCTCATGCACTCCCAGGACAACAAGCAAGTCCCCAGAAAAGGGGGAAACAAACCAACAGCTGGACTATTTAATAACTTTCATGGCAAAGTGAGTTTAGAGAAGGGGAAAGAGAAGTAAGCCATTAAGCTTACAAACTGCTCATTGAAAAAAAAAAAAGAAACACTCTCCAGTCCCAATTTATTTTTAAAAAGGGCTTTGTGTTATTTTAGAGTTCAATTTGTATCAACCACTGTTGTATCACTGTACAACTGTCAAAAAGTTACAGAAGTTTATAATGATCTAAAACTATTAACAGCCATTCAGGAAGGGGGGAAAAAATAAAATAAAAACTCCCCTCTAAAACAATCCAAGAGCTGGGGAACAAAACGTCCTAGGAAAAGATGCCAACTGAATTTCAACCTCTACCTGCCAAAAATGAAAAAAGCAGAAAACAGAAGAAAAATAGAAGACCAAAAGGGTGGTGCTAGCTCGTGTCTGATTTGTAAGGGGAGGGTGCAGTGATGTCCTCCGCCCTGTTTTATGGAAAGGCGGTGGCCAGTTCCTCTGATCGCTTCCCTCGATGCTCGCACTGCCATCTTGCTACTTTGCTCTCAGCTCTGTGCCCTGGTAGCTCCTGCGGTCTTATGTGTCATGGAAATCTTTCAGCAGAGTCCGCCGCCTCTGTTCAGCAATGTGCATCTGATTCTCCAAATCCTGGGTGGGAACAAAAGGAATAAGAAAGGGGTTATTCCTGTAAACCCTTGACTCTGTAAACTACTTAGAGAGGGCTTTAAAGCACTGTGAAGTGGTATACGAGTCTAAGTGCCATTGCTATTGTTTCTATTGGCTGGGAGAAAATTGATCGACACTTAAGAGGAGCTCTAGAAAGGGGAAACAGAAACACTGCTCTTTTACTGACACAGGAGGTGGCTCCCAACAGTTTGCACTGTAATGTATAAAAACATGAAAACCTATCCTCAAACGAGAGCGAGCACTCACTATCCAAAGAGCCTCCAAAACAGCTCTGTCTGGAGTTTAATTAATTTCATTAATTTCCAAAAAGAGGCTGGAAGACAGGGGAGGGGCATAGCAAGACTTCCTTGCAATGGGAAACTGACTGTCTTTATTGACTACAAAACAGCACCTCTGAGCTTCTTGTTGTTAACGGTAATGGGATTGTGGTGATAATATTGTGTCAGTTGCAAGCCCCCATCTGGCTTTTGAAGGCTAAGTAATACTTATACAAAATGAAGATGTAGCTCTCATTTACAAAAGAGTTCCCAGTGTCTGGCCTACAGTGATTGGTAATGTCTCTATAGAATTTCATGTTGTCATCTGTCACGTCCTTTATGTAGAGCAGTGGTTCTCAACCTTTTTAATGCCACGACCCCAACCGGTCGTAAGTCGAGGACTAAACCGGTCGTAAGTCGAGGACTAAACCAGTCGTAAGTCGAGGACTACCCAACCAGTCGTAAGTTGAGGACTTTCCCTGCCTCGGAGTGCCGCGCATGCATGGTTCCGCCCCCTGCACCGGCCGAGGCGTAGCTGGCAAGCGGCAGAGACGGAGCAGGCCGACCACCAGCTGGCCCAGCCCAAGGGAGGTAAGGCACCCGCTGGAAAAGGGGGGGAAAATGGTGGACAAAAAAAATGGCGGACAAAAAAAATGGCAGACAGCCTTGCTTGGCGACCCCCATGAAATGGTCGATCAACCCCAAATGGGGTCCCGACCCACAGGTTGAGAACCACTGATGTAGATGCTACGGATGGAATCTTTTGTCCTCAAAGTAGGGCACAGATTTACTGACTATGATCCTGTTTCCAGTGACAGAGAATTAACCATTCGCTGAATTTCTAATGAACTAGTAGTGGCAATGCCAAAAAATGAAGGTATCAACCCTAACTGCGTAGAGGGAAGCTATTTTGTAATATGGGGGGTTGATACCAAAAACATTGCCTGTGGGCTACAAATCCCTTCACTTCCCTGACATGGTGGGTCATTAAAAGATATTGCTAACAAGCCCATACTTCATGGGCTGGCATCATGTTCCTCACAGGCAAATACATACAAGTATTCCTTGACTTATGACCGTTTAATAACAGTTCAAAATTACAATGGCCTCCCTGTACTCATACTTAATGACCGTTGCTCATACTATCAGTTGCTAAATAGTTGAATTGTGATCACATGACTGCAGGAGCCATGTGATCTGCAATTCAGTTATCTGGTAACTGGCACACTTTTACAATTGGTTGCAGTGTCTTACGATCATGTGATTGCAATTTGCGAGCTCTTCTGCCGATTTCTGGCAAAAAAACAGCCATTGGGGAAGCTGGGTTTGCTTAAACGACCGCGTAAAATGTGTAAAACAGCCCAAGTATAACACCGCCTTGCACAACCATCCTTCTGGATCCTAAATGCTCAAATAAAACAGTTTTCACTAACTTGTGGAAGGCTAGAAGAGAAAGTTACTGGGCAACCCTCAGAAAGCAAGGCGTTTTCAAGGATGAAAACAGCCCCGGAGATGGAATGCCCATGCCCCTCTGAATTCTTTTAGGGATGATATCCTTAGTCCAGTGGTGGCGAACCTATGGCACGGGTGCCAGAGGCGGCACTCAGAGCCCTCTCTGTGGGCACGCGCGCCGTCGACCAAGTCCTAGGCCTTCAGCTGGGTTTTATAAAACCTTTTCGCTTTAGGCTGCCGTGTCCCCCCCCCAAAAAAGGTTCAATCAATCAGTCAATTTCAACTTCTCGCAGGAAAAAAAAAGATCTTGCAAAGTTGGAATTGATTGATTGAGCTTTTTAGTTCCACCCAGTCTGCTGTTACCTACCCAATGGGCCACGCCCACCCAATGGGCCACACCCACCCAATGGGTTACACCCATCCGGCACCCGACAATGCATAAGTGGGTTTTGGGTTGCAGTTTGGGCACTCGGTCTCTAAAAGGTTCGCCATCACTGCCTTAGTCTCTTCACTATGCATTCATATACAATCTGCCAAATTCTATCTGGAAAAGACAGACTCTGAAGTACTCCAGAACCAATTGACTTTAATAGTCAAAAACTACATTTTGAATTGGATCTAGATGCCTTCAGCAATCGGTGCAACGCCTCGACAACAGATATAATACCATCTTAGTGACAGTCACTCACCAAAAGCTTGGTTACCATATTTCACCATTTCTTTGCACTAAGTCTGGAAGATGATGCTATAAGTTCTAAGGGATAAGAATTCCATTTCTGGTGACATTCAAATTTCTTTTTTTTTTAATTATGAAGATGTTTAGCTTTGGTTTTTAATGATAATGGGTTATATGAGATTATTTCCTATTTTCTCAATGTATTCGATGAATTTCAAAATGGTTATGTTTCTGGGACCTTTATTTAGTTTCTGAGGGACTTTTTGGGATTGATGAGATTTGGGGATTTAAGAAGAGTTAAATAGATATAAATGTAAAGGTAGGAAACTGAGTGAGCTTATTAGATTAAGTTTATAACATATGTGGTTATTTCTGGTAACCCTTAACAGACTTTTGCTGATTAGGATGGAAGATGAGATTTCATAGACATGTGTATAGAGAATGAGGTAACATATGGGGTGAAGAATTTATTTTTTCTATTTTAAAGAATGGCGATAAGTTGTGAAAGGTGTTTGTATGTTGGAAATTCTATTTTTTCACTTTTTCATCTTTTGTAGTCTATTATTTGTATCTGTATACTCTTAATCTATATAAATAAAAATGTAAATGTTCGTTTGTTCAAAATCTTAAATCTCTAAAAGTTCTTCACCGATTGCTTTGAAATTTTGACACAACGTTGCATTCGAATACGTGCGTATTTTTATATACCTACTATTATATAGATGTCAACCTGTGACAGGTAAAAACATGCTTTTTTGGAAAAACAGCACCATCTGTTGGACGTAAAAGCATACCCACAAGCATTGTGAAATTAAACATATTACAAACGTGCGCTTTCTCTTTTCTTTCTTTTCCATTTAACCAGACTGAGCCACAGCAACGCATGGCCGGGTACAGCTAGTTTCTAATAAAAAAATTAAAAAAACAAAAGGAGCAGTAGTAGTTTCTTTTCCTCCATTACCGATGCCAATTTCTCTTGAGACTTCAGAGTAAAAAATAAGCTCACAACTGAGAAAATGGGTTGAACTAAGTTTATTACTCACTCCTCTGTCGTAACTGTCTGCTCTTTCCACCTTCCATGAGAGATTTTCAATCTCTGCTTCAAGTTGAGCCTGTTGGTATTCAAACTGAAAATCAAACAAAACATTATGAAAAAAAAACACAGGACTGATATAGGAAAATCTCTTTCTATCTTAATCTTTCAGCCAAATTTGCTGCACTGATTAATAATACATTGGTGCCACTGTTTGTATTACAGCAGGAAGCATTTCAAATTAAGGAAACACTGCAGCCAATTCAATGAGTGCAAACAGTCATAGTAGCTTGAGCAACATAAAAGAATATGAAATTAAGGATGGACAAATCCTCATTTGTAATTGATGAAGACTTGGGCATGTTTGTTCTTTATTCTCCTATACCATATTTATAGTAATAATATTCATTAAGGCTTATAAGAACTTTCAATTATTGAAAACCTGGTTGCAAACTAGTAGAGTTACGATGTGCTGGTGACAAATATTTAACATTTTCTTCAACATTCATCCTACTTATGACAGGTAATTTGCCCATTAACATGCTATTTGGATGTCCCAAGACCAAAAACAAAATCCTTTCCTATGTAATTTATTAGAACTGTATTCTTTCTTCCCCTCCAAGTTTGAAATATTTTATCTGTGGCTTCCAAGGGTCTCCCCACCACCACCTCCAAAGAATCAAAAAGCTCAGCTTCACCAACTAGAAGCTACCGTGTGGTTTTAGGCAATGTTTAGATATAGATTCGTATAGTCCCAACTTTCTCCCCCCCCCCCCCCCAATTCTTTAGGAATTTCAGTTATCATTCAATACACAGAACTACATGGTCTTACCAATTTCTTCCTGGGACCAGATTCCATGTAGTAAGCATATGGATAGGTGTACTGTAGTGTATAACGACACTGCAATTTTAAAAAAGGAAGTAAGATTAGTAGATTATACTTATGTTAGGCCAATAGAGCTATCTGCTACTCCTCTCCAAATTTCAGAGGCAGCAGTCCATATGTATTATGATATGAAAAAGCAGCCCCTATAAGAAATTGCAGCTATCTATGGTTCTGTAATACACAGGACATAATATGAGCTTGGCAGTAAGCTATATTCATGAAAACAAGGAGACAGCTGAGCTCCTCTTTTCCCAGTTTTGTGGTAGTAGTGGTAGTAGTAGTAGAAGCAGCAACAGCAGAAGCAGCAGTACCTAGAGCAGTGGTTCTCAACCTTTTTAATGCTGCGACCCCCCAACCGGTCGTAAGTCGAGGACTTAAACCGGTCGTAAGTCGAGGACTAAACCGGTCGTAAGTCGAGGACTACCCAACCGGTCGTAAGTCGAGGACTTTCCCTGCCCGGGAGTGCTGCGCATGTGTGGTTCCGCCCCCTGTGCCGGCCGAGGCGTAGCTGGCAAGCGGCAGAGACGGAGCAGGCTGACCACCAGCTGGCCCAGCTCAAGGGAGGTAAGGCACCCACCGGAAAAGGGGAAAAAATGGCGGACAGCCTTGCTTGGCGACCCCCGTGAAATGGTCGATCGACCCCAAATGGGGTCGCGACCCACAGGTTGAGAACCGCTGACCTAGAGCTTCAAAAGGAAGCACAGAATGTGCTCCTACATCTCAAGCAACCCCAGGTGAACTCAATCTAGTTTTCAGCTGTAGGTTCAGTTCAGATTACTGAACAACACATAGCAACTCCTTTGATAATATCCATTGCACCTAGTTGCCGTTTAAAGTCAGAGTTAGTGTTCCATAGCTATATAACCCTGAACACAGCAATATAGCTTAACCTATCCTCCTTCAGGTATTTAACACAGCTGAGTTACAGATAGTTACCTTGGCTAGGAGTTTTGCTGCATTCTGTAAATATTGCCAGTCTATCCACGTTCCCAAGTTGTTCATGACTCTTTCTTGGATTTTTTCTTGAATTCTCTGGTACGTCTGCGCCTCCAACTGTAAACTCTTGTTGTGGTTTTCCCACTTCACAATAGAGAAAAGGAATACCCAAAGTGAACATGGTCATTGGAAAAGCAAACAAAAAACCCAAGCTGGGATCCAGCAGAAAAGGATAGCTTTCCAATACTAAGCACTTCTAGTATCAAAAAGACATGTTATGCTGGGGGGAGGGGGGGAAGCATGCCAATCACCTTCTAAAACAGACATGTCAAACTCTCGACGTCACGCGACGTATCGGGACTGTTTTGCCATTGCCGGCAATGGGGTGGGTATGGCTTCCGCGTGACGTGTCCGGCCTGTGGGCCGGCAGTTTGACACCCCTATTCTAAAAGCAAGCTGCTTTTTGTTAGTGGACTCTAAAAAAAAGGCAAGGCAAATCATTTATCTTGGCTTTCCCACTTGGCATATGGTATAATTGGCTACTTCAATTACACAGCTAGAAAGCAAAGGTCAGCCCAGACAGGAAGCACACAGATATAAATGGCAGCTCTCCTCCAACATTCCAGTTCTCTTTTACTGCTCCAGATTCTCTTATATGACACGGATCTTCCCATCCACACCTGCAAACCTCAAGCTACATACTTGTTCTGGCATAATCTATATAAATAAAAATGTAAATGTTCGTTTGTTCAAAATCTTAAATCTCTGAAAGTTCTTCACCGATTGCTTTGAAATTTTGACACAACGTTGCATTCGAATATGCGCGTGTTTTTATATACCTACTATTATATAGATGTCACACCTGTGACAGGTAAAAACATGCTTTTTTGAAAAACAGCACCATCTGTTGGCTAAGTGAACGAGAGCCACAGCAACGCGTGGCCGGGTACAGCTAGTTACTGAATACAGCTAGTAGCTGAGGAATGTGGGAGTCCTCAAATTGACAGGGAAGGCTCTTAAAAACCTGACTTTGGTCCTAGGCCTGGGATTGATATATTAATGTACCACTGTCTTTGGGCGGGAGAGGGGGCTGTTCTATGTTGTTTGTAAGATTTAGTCTTGGCTGGCTGTTTGGTTTAACATTTTATCTTTTTTATGGATTTTCCAGTTTTGTCTGCTGCCCACAGCATTGTCATCTTTAAGATATTATCTCAAGTATCGTTTAGCTACATCTGGAAAATCTAGTTAGCTACGTAATTGTCCTTGGCGCCCTCTGAGCTTGGTTGTTTGCTTGACCCAATTAGGTAGTATCATTAGTGAATGCGGGGTCTGCTCCTTGTTTACATACAATATCTCGCTCTGCCAGTTTTGATAAGGGTGTGGTTCTCTCCTTGGTAGTTCCTTGCTTAGGGTATTGCATAACTGTTTGTCTGATATTAATCCCCACTTATCTGAGTGTGGACTGCTGAAAAGGGTATGTTTTGGTAATTAGGGAATTTCTGGATGCTTGGCATTCAGATAAATCAGCCATTAATAGACACACAGGGATAAACCACATTTACACTCCTTTCAAAAGAAACAGTAAAGAAGCTAAGAAGGAATCAAAAAGAACAGACTGATTTTTTTTTTTGAGGGGGTGGATATTGTTAAGGCTATTTCTATTGACAGAACAAGGGGAGAAATTATCCAATTGGCTCTTGGAAGTTTCTCTCTCTTTTAAGAAGCTCCTCCAGAGAGGTTGCCCCCCCCCAAAAAAATTTTTTTTGGAGTAATTGGGAGGCATCCACAAGCAATTTAAAAAAAATAGTAATGACAATCGGCTCACACAGCACTGAATTTCATCCATGTATCTTATTTGTAAGACCAGAAACTAGAAATTCACCACTTTAAAATATGTTACACATATATGGATACAGAAAATGGTTTAAGCATATCTGGGGCAAGGAATACAAATCTGTAAGACAGTGAATGCACTTTTATCAGAGGCAACATTTGAAAAGAATCAATCCAACTTCAACAGTGTTCAACTATTTCTGCTGGATCCCACAAAGAAAAAACTCTTGTTTACAATAGAGACAAGAATTATCTAGGAAGACATTTACGTCTTGGAGAGGAAACTTAAGGATTCAGAATTATGTTTTGTGGTCATCCTGTGTCATCACATAGACTTGTTAACATAAATCCCTGTGCCTCTCTGCACAAGGCAGGACGCACTGAAAAGTTTATAGTTAGCTTTGGCTATGGAGATATTTCCTACCCTCTCAAAATAGAACAAGTACTTCTTGAGGGCCTCCCTGGCCTGTGCTTGCTGGCTCTGATTTACAATATCAGGATTCTCTTTGTACCGACTGCATTCATAGTATTCGCTGCCATGAGTCTTCCAGTCCCCTAGACACATCCAGCAAAAGTCTACAAGAGACAAGAAGGCAAAAGCTAGTTAATAAAAAAGCATCTATCTTAGAACAATTAACCAGTGGAACAACCTGCCTCCAGAAGCGGTGAATGCTCTAACATTGGAAATTTTTAAGAAGAGACTGGACAGCCATTTGCCCGAAATGGTATAGGGGTTTCCTGCCTGAGCAGGGGGTTGGACTAGATGACCTCCAAGGTCCCTTCCAACTTCTTTATTATTATTATTATTATTATTATTATTATTATTATTATTATTATTATTATTATTATTATTATTGAAACTCAGAAGAGCCTAAGAGCTGTGCTGAACAGGCTATTGAACGAGTCCTTAGAACAGTAATCAAAGTACCACAAATGCTTTAATGGATCAGCAGGATAATATTTAAAGTAAAGAACAGGTAAATGTTTTCCTAGTTCAAAAAGGCAGTTGTCCACTTACCATGCTTGCATTTGGAACATTGCTGGAGGAAACAGAGAAAAGAAAAGTTAACGAACCACAAAGTTTTAATCTGAAATCAGATAAAAATTTTGAGGTGATTCTTAAGCATATTTAGAAACTACTCACCATGTGATTGCAGCCACCGTTCTTTTCAATACAGATATTGCACTTGGGACACTGAGAAGAAAACAAAGAATAACATTAACCTAACAAATGTTTTCCCCATACTCCACGCCTTCCAGGTTTCCACTCTATTTGCCCTCCATTTGCTTTCTGTAATTGTGCAGTCTTCATTCTGGCTCTTCATAGGAACACAGAAATTTGCCTGATAAAGCAAACCATTAATCTATCAAGCTATATGAAATATCAATGGCTTTCAAACAGGGCTTTTTTCCCTCATAGAACGCCCAGAACGGAGTTCCAGTACCTTTTTTGGATGGAACCTTGTAGGGTAGGCAAGGCGGGTGGTATGACGTGTGTGAATTCCGGCGCCTTTTTTTTTTTTTTTAAGAAAAAAAGCACAACTTTCAAACAAGAGCCTTTCCTAGCACCACCTGGAAGTGCCAACACTGAATCTGGGCCTTCTTCCATACAGAAAATTTGCTCTATGATTCAGCTAAGGGCCTTCAATTCTTTTAATTATACCTCCTTAATTAAATATATATAATTTCAGGGCCATATTTTAATTAAGAATGGAAACTTTTAACTTGGGTTTTGAACCGGGCATTTTAACAGATGAGGGAAAAAAAGAAAAGAAAAAGTCTTGTGTTTCCCTTCATGTTTTGTAATTCATCCCTACCTCAACCAATCGAATACTTTTGCAATGTTCCTCTTTCTATATTGTCTTTATTAATATTACAATCCAAGTCTGTTTAGTTTTTTTAACTGTAATGTTCAGTCTTCCCCTCCATAAAAATGTGCCTTCCAATGGCAGGCTTCTTACATTTTTCCTCAAGAAAATGAATTTAGCCTATTCACAAAGTTTCTCATTCTTTTAGTTTGCATCTTAGATGTTTCCTCTAATCTTAAATTTCTGCCCAGGATAACAATTCTCTTATTACCTTGGAAAGGGGAGAAACATATGATCTAATCTTTTCTTCTGGGAGATGCATTACATTCAATAAAAGTATGAGCAAATGTATAATCAAGTAACTTGATTATATGCCATCATGTCAGTGTTGACTATTAGCAACAACACAGATTTTCCACAAGAACATTTGTTCCCAAGTTGGTGTATCAGGTCTTCCAATGTGTACTTGTCACTGTTGTAACTGAGTCCATCCACCTTGCTTCTAGTTGGAACTCACAATATCGGTTTTACTCTTCACCCTCTTTCCATTTTGGCTTTAGTTTTTTGGGGGGACATAAGTGCCAATTGGCAAGATAAGCAGGGAAGGAGGGGGTGCAAGGAGGAAAGACTTCAGATACAGGATAAATAATTCAATTACCAGGCCCTCCATTAATAACCAAACACAGATTTGTTTGAAACTACAAATACTTAAAAAGTGTCCCCTTCCCAACACACTTACATCTTTAGTGTGAGCGCTGATGTAGTTAGCTGTTTCAGAGTCATCTGCACACTTAGTGAGCCATTTTCGGATGGTAGCACAATCTGTGGGAGCGTGATACATCTGCCGACATTTGAAACTTAAGCAAAAATAAACGTATGTCTAGTTTAAAGAAAATCTATTACCTGTAATCAAAAACTATTTGAACATGACAATAGTACGCATAAGAAAGCTTGCATTCCTAATACTTCTGCATAAAATCTGAATGGGGCTATATGTATCCCGTTCAATGGCAGAATTTGGCAGTAAAAAGTAGAATACAATATCCCGAGGAATGTTATCACAGTATCAATATAAATAAATCCAGTGCAGGATGGCAGCCTCTTCACTGAAGGTTTATGGGCTGTTATCTATCACACCAGTCTAGAGTGGGCTGGTAGATAAGGTATTTTTGGATTTCCCCATCAAGGATGGAGAGTGAGTGAGAATGATTGGCTGAAAATCATCTGACTAGCTTCTATATCTAAGGGAGGATTAGAACCTGGATTTCCCCACTCCTAGCCCAGCATCTTAAATGCTGGTAACTGATAACTCCCTACTCCTTTTTTATTTCACTTGGAAAATGCCAAAATAGTACAAAACCTCTGCAGATTCTGGTGTTTAAATTAGCATGGGACAGTTTCCCCTTTTTTGTGCAGATCATATATAACACTAGCTTTTAGAAATTGCAGTGTTAATAGTGGAATCATCTAAAGAAGGATATACCATCCATAGGCTACGTATGTCTCTCCAAATCATATTTACAACTACCAAATGCTACTTTTACTACCCCTTTCCCATCACATTCAATCTATTTGATTCTAGAAGCTGGCGTTTGCAGAATAGAGTTGATTTGTATAACCACTGCTCATTCCTTGTAAATTACTCAGAGGTTTATTAGTTCTCATTGCCCAGTTTTTCTCACAACTCTGTAATATAGCAATTCACCTCTTCAGTTTAATCTTCAACAGTTAATCATGTGCCTGCTTCTTCAAGCTACGCAAGACTCTCAAACCTACACCCAAGGAGCTGGATGGCAAATCCAACAGTTTTAACAGTCATTTTGTCGCTGCTGCATTTGTTTAGGCTGTTCCTCATTTCAAGGAAGTTTTTTTTTTCTATCTTCCCATCTCTATCATTTATGTACATCAAATGTGCAATTTCCCTTTCTTACCAGAAAACCTCATTACAGCGATTGCACTGCACTCGGCGGGCTTTGGGCTCCTGTACTTGTATGACCATAGGACAGTCAGCGCCAGGACAGAGCTGCAGCTGGAAGTGGCTCTGTGGGACAACAACGTAAGTCCTTTTTAAAAAGTATTTTAAAGAACTCCATCAAAACAAAACTGCATATGGTTTTAAGTGAGGCGGATTTTATTTCTGGAGGACAAATTGTTTTTTTCAACTGGGAAAACTTTTAAGAAAGCCTTCCCAGGAAAGGATATTTTTGAAATTAAGTATAAGGAAAACATGGGAGTAGTCTACTCTGATCTCCACTGGGAGACTCTTCCACAGAATCAGTGATGCTATCAAAAAGAAGTGCCTCCTGAGCACAATTTCCTCAAAGTGGGGAATCAGGAATAGTTTACTCTGGAATGAGCTAACACAGGGGTGTCAAACTCAATTTCATCGAGGGCCGCATCAGCATTGCGGTTGCCTTGGGGGGGGGGGTGGCCAGGGTGGGTGCAGCCTACTGGGTGGGCATGGATGGAGTGGGTGTGGCCTACTGGGTGGGCCAGCTCTACATCGTTCGCGTCAAGGGTGCCTGTGGGGCCTGGGCAGGAGTGGGACAGATCTGAGGGTCTCTGGCAGAAGAGGTGGGACCGGAGCAAGTGCCAAGACATGGTCCATTTCTTCATTCCTCACAAAGGGTGACACCTCCCCAGCATGCACCCAGGGGGCGGGGCCGACACAGCAGGGGCTGGTTCCTCGCTGTTTCTAGACGGCCTTGTGGAGCTAAGACTGAATACGTTTCAGCATAGATGGCCACCACAAAATTGTACATTGGTTCCCGGCCGGCCTGGGCCAGGGCCAAGGCAGCGGGGGCCGTTCCCTCACTGTTCAGAATGGCTTCGCAGGCCACATGAAACCACTTCACGGGCCGCATCCGGGCCCCGGGCCTTGTGTTTGACATGTCTGAGCTAACAGGTCAAGCTAATTCTGATTACAGAGAGCAGTCTTACGGCTAAAACCACGGGGCTTTATGGTCAAAACTGGCAAGTCTCCAGAAGCCAATTGGTAGCCATAGCAAGGCCTGATGATAGGTATAACATGCTCCCCGCATCAGGCGACAGTCAACGTATAAGGCCGATGTACTCTGGAACTAACTGTAGCTTTGAGCAGTCTTTAAAGACAGCCCCATGTAGAATGCATTGCAGTATGTTACAGCGTAATTGGGATTGTTTTACAATTGGAGGTGTATTTTGATTTGCAAGGATGACAACATGACAGTTTTTGGCAACACCCTGGCCTCTGGGGAGTGATTTGGTTGACAGCCGTGAAACAGATTCTTCCCCTAAGGGAAGGAAAACAAGACAGTTGGTCTTTTACGCCTTTTTAAATTATAAGTGAAGTTATTTACAACAGGTATACCCAACACAACCCTGGCCTTTACCCAGTATCATGTTTCCTCCTAAGTCTCTCTCCCAAAGACTACTCACCCTTAGCTCTTCTACCAACTGCTTTACTTCCTCCCCATTTCTAGTGTTATCAAGAGGATGTAAACAAAGGAACAGGCTGGATCTACCGCTAGTATGCTCAGCGCGGCTCGTCTTCTTTCTTAGATCTACTCAACTGAACCATCTGCATTTCCTTCCCTAGGGGAAGAACCGGTTTCATGGCCGTCAGCGAAAATCACTCCCCAGAGGCCAGGATTTTGCAAAAGACTATCATGTCCTCTTCCTGTCTTGGGTCTTGCATGTAGATGTTCTCTCTATGGCAGGGCTTTTCAACCAGTGGTACGGGTACCACCTGTGGTACATTGGCACCTGGCAGGTGGTACGCGACCATCCTAGAAAAGTGGTAGCGGGGGAGGGGAATGAGCTGAACTGGGTGGCAGCACCGCACGAGCCTGAGCGAGAGATGGCTGGAGCTGCAGGGCTGTCAGGGCTCAGTGGAAGTGCCAGGATCAGTGCCAGGCTCCAGCTGGAGCTCGGTGCTGATCCTGGCGCTTCTGCTGAGCCCAGAAGAAGTGCCGATCAGCTGGAATGTTGCAGCATCTCCAGGGTCTTGCGATTTACATTCAGATGCTTGGCCTGATTCATATTTATGACGGTCACAGTGTCCCAGGGTCATGTGAAGTGACCAAAACCTGCTGCAACCACCCAGCAGATGGAGGGGAATAAAAACCAAACACCCCCCACCCCACCCCCACTGCCAATCCTCAACAGAAATGCTCACAACAATGAAAACCTCAGACAGGAGGAAGAGCGCTGCCGGGCAGGCAGGCATCTTGCTCAGCTGTAGCTTGGGGGGGGGGGCACTTTTTCAGTGCCATTGTAACTTCGAACAGTCACTAAGCGAACTGTTGTAAGTCGAGGACTACCTGTACTTTTATCACTTTTTTCTTTTTCTTTTTTTTCTTTTTTTTTGGGGTCATCAAGTTTTTGACACCTTGCTAGGCGACTGGTGGTACTCGGATGTTGCCATATCCTAAAAGTGGTACAATGGGTGAAAAGGTTGAAAAGCCCTGTTCTATGGGACTTCTCTTTGTCTCTCCGACTGGAGTCCAACTTGCTCCACACACTCACGTTAACTTCACTCTCCAGCCACTCTGTTCTACAATCTCCTTCTTTTCTCTCTCTCCCTCTTAAATTTTCAGTCAGACTGCAACATACCCCCCAGTAACTGAGGCGGTGGGCATGTCCCCAGAGCTTTCGGTCTCCAACACCTACATACTAGGCTGGACTAATAGGATTGCTGTCTCTACAGCTTCCCACAATAGCTCTGGCTGGCAGCCAGGACAACTTAGCAGCTTGCATGACAGTGCAGCTGCACTTTGAGGCTAAACTGGAGCCTCTACTTCCCCTTTCTCTCTTCGTTTGATGGCTCATGCCAGCACACAGCTACCATTTCAGAGCACTATATGCCAACAGTATCATAACCAGACGGTAACGAAGACACGTGTTACTGTTTTGGTGCACCAACCGAGCTTGGAAAAGTTCTTCTGGCTGTGACTTCCACCCCTTTTAGCAGGAACCGTGAGTCCAAAAGGACCCCAGTTTGCAAATCCGGTTCTTCAAGGGTGGTTGTGGCCAGTCCAGAATAAACTGATCTGTTTTGTTTGGGTTCACCTTCAGAATTTTCTGTCCCCTACAAACCCTGGCAATCAGTTAAGGTATCAAGGAGGTTTCTCACCCAATCTGAGTAGCAACTTTTAAGCATACTGCTGCCTGTTTCACAACCTACAGGTAATCGTTGCCTGACAATCACAACTGGGTCCAGAATTTGGGTCACTAAGAAATGCAGTTGTTCAATAAGTCACTACATAACTGGACCCAATTTTATGACCATTTTTACCCATGGTCATTAGATGAATTATTTGGCCCTTGTGAATCATATGGTTAAACGAATCCCGCTTTCCCAATTCACTCGACCTGTTAGAAGCCAGCCAGGAAGGTCTCAAATCGCAACCACAAGACTGCAAGAAACTGCAATCTTTACAAAGGTGAGTGTGTTGTCGAGCGCCTCAACTATGATCCCTGTGACCCTGGGAGAGGCGCAACAGTGATAACTTTAAGGAAGGATCATAAGTCACTTTTTCCGAGGACACTATAACTTCGAACCACGACTAAGCAAATGGCCGTAAAGTTGAGGATTACCTGTATCAGATAATATATCCCAGCAACTACATGTAGATGCTGAAGGACAGGAGGGGAAAAGCACAAACTCCTGAAACACCCCACATGACAGGGGCCACCAAGGTGACCTCTATCTCCCCCTCCCCCCCCCGGACTGGAATCACTTGTTGAGAAAAGCAAAACTATCTGTTGTGGCTCCGTCTTGTGAGCCCCTCTTATCGGAGGAAGAAGGCTCCGAACATGAAGGAGAGGAGATGGCTAGGCCTCCCTCTCCAGGACCCTCCTCTTTGGCAAGGCCTCAGGTGTCTTCCGACGGAGAAGAGATTGGCCAGGAGCCAGGTGTTTCTCAGACTGGCCAGGAGCCAGGTGTGTCGGATAATGAGGAAGAAAAGTTGTGGCTGGATCCATGCCAGCTCAGAAGCGACAAGTGTGCGCAGCAGAAAAAGAGACGTGCCAGAGATTAAGCTGAGTCACTGGACCACACCCCACAGGCTATAAAAGGGTGGTGGTGGCCATTTGGACCTCTGTGACGGACAAAAGCTGAATCTCTGGCAAAGTAATTTGCTGTGGCTTTAAACTGTGTGTATTGTTTTTGTTTCTGTGTGTTTGGAGTAAAAAAGTCTTGGCAGGCAGCTACGGAGCTGCTGCCAAGTTTCTTATATGTGCAGTGGTGTCTGGAGAAGTCTTTAACCCTCGGCTGGCTGTTTGGGTGTGTGGGTCGGAACGGGGACAGAAGACTATCGCAAAGCAGGTTTCCAATTCCCAGTGCCAGAATTAAAGCCATTTAAAGAGAGCTGAACTTTCTAAAAGCAAACGCAACTTTTTAAGGAATTGCACGATGCACTCTTAAATTTACAGAAGCACAGCTTACAGATAAATTCACTGAAATTTGTACATTATTTCCTTAATGTGTAAAACAGAGAGTGTTGAATATAAAATGACAAATGATACCTCAATGTAGTCCCTGAAGAGGTAGCGTCTGTATTTATCTTTCAGCTCCTCACTAGGTAGCAGTGGAAATACAAAATCTTCTGGGGTCCGAAGCAAACAATCCTGAGCCATGCAGGAGACACCTAGCGGGAAAAACACACACGCTATTTTCAAAAGAACAGAGACCTGAATGACATCAGAGGACATTATTCATTTTAAAAAAAAGACCTTCAAATAGTATCCAATTTCACAGAATTTCTGGAAACCTGGCTCTGAAAAGACTCTTGTCAGAATAGTTAGAAAGGACTCTTGTCAGGAATGGAAAACATTTTCCCTCTTGATCAGAGACAGCTGAAAAAGAATTCAGTAGGAACGGTCCATTCAAAGAAGGTAGAATATAAATTTCTGGGAGGCAATTCCAAAGGGCCAAAAGACAGCTGTTGTCAGTCCCACAACCCAAGGTAAGATCTGCTGCTATCAAAAGAAGACATAAAAAGCGTGTTCCCCTTGAACTGCTCCATTTTTAAGATTAAGAGAAAATTTACCAGCAGCAGAAAGCAGTATGTGGAGATACCGGCGTACCCCAAAAGAGCCAAATGACCCATTGCTTTGCACCTACCAACTCCCACTCCATCTTTGACAAGTACGGTACAATGCTGCTCCCAACAGCTGCGGCAAAACTGATGCTGACAGGCTAGAGATAATAGATTTTCCTTTCGAACCAACTGCATGCAAACTGCACAGTGCTGGGAGGAATGTACCATTGCCTGTTGGAGTGAGAGTGAGAGAGAGAGAGAGATTATTGATAAAGAAGAGGAATTCTAATGGCCTATTTAAATAAAATAAATGCCTTTAAATGTCAACAGATTAGTGAGAAAAGCTGTGACCTATTGTGATATTTTAAATTCGGTTTGGTTTTATGGTCAAGAATAAGCAGTTCCTTCCCTTGTGTTACCTGCCTACCACAATAACTACACAAAGACATTACAAGTGGCTACTCCCCTCATCGGCTTAATTTCAAACTGGGCAACTCCCACTGAAGAAGAATCTTCAACATATTATACTTCAAGACCAGGAAGGCAGCTCCAAAACTTTGCCAAATCAAGATAAAGTTAATGACGCTTCCATTAACTTTACAAAGATTACCTGCAAATATATAGCTCACATAAAACAAAGCATCTTATATAAAGCTGTACTATGCTAAATGACTTTTTACAAGAGAAACAATGTTTGAGGGGTTGGGGGCTTCCAGCTTTCCAAAGAACAGCAGGAGGCCCTCCAGTTGTTAACATCATATGAAGGGGAGGGCATTTTTTTTTCTCCCACGTGTCTTTTTTCAGAGCTGAAATAATAATAATAATAATAATAATAATAATAATAATAATAATAATAATAATAATAATAATAATAATAATAATAATGGTAGTAGTAGTAGTAGTAGTAGTAGTAGTAGTAGTAGTAGTAGTAAAGTTGGAAGGGACCTTGGAGGTCATCGAGTCCAACCCCCTGCTCAGGCAGGAAACCCTATACCATTTCGGACAAATGGCTGTCCAGTCTCTTCTTAAAAACTTCCAGTGTTGGAGCATTCACCGCTTCTGGAGGCAGGTTGTTCCACTGGTTAATTGTTCTAACCAAGGCTTTTTTTCTCATAGAACGCCCAGAACGGAGTTCCGGCACCTTTTTTGGATGGAACCTTGTAGGGTAGGCAAGGCGGGTTGTATGATATGTGTGAGTTCCGGCACTTTTTTTTTTTAAAAGAAAAAAAGCACTGGTTCTACTGTCAGGAAGTTTCTCCTTAGTTCTAGGTTGCTTCTCTCCTTGCTTAGTTTCCACCCGTGATGGGGATGGGAACAGATGGCTTACAAACCAGTCCAATTTATACCCTTAAAACATCCTCAAATCCTGAAAACAACCCAAAGTTGCATTATTTATTTAGTTAGCTAGTTCTGGAGGGGTTAAAAATGGAAATAAAGGTAGTCTCACTTCCAGAAACTCACATTCTCCTTTGCATCCCAATCTTAATTTTGAATATTAAACAAATACAACCTCACTAAAAGTTGGCAATTTTGTTACTAAATTTTAACGGTGCAGCTCAGGATGCTGAGTGGGAGGGCACATGCCGCCTGAAGGGTTGCCTTTCCTTTTCTGGGAACTGTGTTAAAACAAACCCTGGCAAATTATTACATACGATGAGAAATGTGAGTATATTTTATATATTACACATCATTTGGCTCATAATATAGGTAGTCTGTGGAATTGCTGATACCAAGTGACATGGCTGTAAAACACAAAATCACGTGACCATGCCACTTAGTGATGGAGGTTCAGGCAGTCCCAATTGTCCAGCAAGAACCTCAAATGACTGCCAACTTCTGACTTCCTGCCAGCTTCCCCATTGACTTTGCTTGTGGGAAGCTGGCAGGGAACGTATGAAATTGTGATCACGTGACCATGGCTTGCTGCTACATCATAATCACAAACTGAGGATGCTGTGATAAAGAACTTCAAGGACAATCCATAACGATCACTCATTCTGCACCATCGTTAAGTTTGAATGGTTGCTGAATGAGTGGTCATTAAACAAGGATGACCTATATACAGTACATAATCAATATAATTGTAAGGAGCTGATTTATAATCAACAGTGACACCTACACAAATTCACATCTCTATCAAAGGCAATAGTTGCAGCCATAACAAGCAAGATCTCCATTTAATGAAATGAATCACTGTTACTTTGATGAGAAGCAATGGGTGGAAACTGATCAAGGAGAGAAGCAACCTAGAACTAAGGAGAAACTTCCTGACAGTTAGAACAATTAACCAGTGGAACAACCTGCCTCCAGAAGTGGTGAATGCTCCAACACTGGAAGTTTTTAAGAAGAGACTGGATAGCCGTTTGTCTGAAATGGTATAGGGTTTCCTGCCTGGGCAGGGGGTTGGACTCGATGACTTCCAAGGTCCCTTCCAACTTTTTTTATTATTATTATTATTATTATTATTATTATTATTATTATTATTATTATTATTATTATTATTATTATGGCAATTTTGTTTTCCTATTTCAAAAACTTTTACAACATTTTTTTTAAATTGCACAATTCTATTTGGAATACAATGGAAATACAAAAATGCTTTGAGAAGAATTACTTAGCATCTTTGAATTACATATCTTCAAAATATTTATTTATTTAGTAAATATATGTGCTGCCTACCTCACTAACCAGAGTGACTCTTGGCTTATAAAAATTTAAGATTTTAATACCAAGCACCTTAGAAAATTGAGTTACTCACGTGTTTGAATGAGGCAGGCTGAACCCTTGCTTCCACTAGCAATTGAACTGAATTAGATGTGTTCCTGAGAGCCAGGAAAAAAAAAAAAACTTTAGACAGACATAGGGCCATACCTGTGAAATTAATGAATTCATCAGGTCATAATCTTAAATCAATAAATAATCAACTTTTCCTGACAAAGCCAGCTCATGAAGGTTAACAAAAATATTAATAATAAAATCGAACGCAAAATAACCACCATCATAAACAATTATATTAGCAAATTTTAAAATAACACATAAAAATATAGACACTGACATAAAATGCAGTTGATAAACATTATAAAACTAATATGGAGGAAAGTTTCAGCTGAACAAATACATTTCCCGGTTACTGTTAAATTTAGTCAGAGAAGCAAGTTGAACTACGGAGAAAGGAATTCCAAAATTCCAAATTGTAGCTTTTGGAATATACCATACAGGGGCAATCGTTCGTTCAAATAAGTGGATCTCAACTACATGGAGATGTATGTCTTGAATCTAACTTGGAAGCCTACAGAAAACTAGTGCAAATAGAGCAGGAGAGTGTCGCTTGCTTTCATCTGAAGCACAAGACAGAAATATGGCCTCTGCATTCTGTCACCCAACTGCAATTTCTGGCTTTTCTTCTAAGGTACTGCCACCAGCACATATTACGTCAGTTTAAAAAAAGGTCACCAATCCATGGATGGGACATTTCCAAAAATGAGATCAGTTGAAGAATCACATGAAGTTGGAAGTAATCTTAAACACGAGTTCCAAAGTAAAGGTATTTTAAGAGATAGTGAAGAATTACCGGTATCAAGCAAAATGCTTGTTTTCAGGTGAGATCATATTCAGTGTTGTAGGGCTACACTACGAAAATGGGTACAGAAGTAGCAGAAGATGGGGACATAGCAAAAACAACAGTTCTGTTACAGAAGAGTTGTCAGTCAGGGGGAGATATGCATACACAGGCACATTTTTTGAGTTTATGCCAGTCTTAAGTATTTTTCAGGGGTCAGTTTCCAATTCCAATCTTAATGAATCCAATACTATTCTCAAACCCAGCTTGTCACAAAATGTAACTGTGTGATTTGCTACCCAATTCTGATGGCCGATGAAGAAAGAGCTTCACATCAAAACCTCAGGATGGTGGAAGGTGTAGCCAGTGATGTTACATTCACCCACCATACATGGTCAGACGACTTTAATGTCCTTTAGCTATAAAGACAGTAGAGATAGTCCTTGCTTACTGTCCACCCATTCAGCGGCCGTTCAAAATTACAACACTGCTGACAAACAGTGGTCCTCAAAGTTGTAATTGTCGCAGTATACCTGCAATCACCTGATTACAATTTGGGTGTTTGGCAACCAGCATGCATTTACAAAGGTCACAAGTGTCTTGCAGTCACATGACTGCCATTTGCGACTTTCACAGCCAGCTTCCAACAAGCAAAGTCAATGGGGAAATCGGCAGGAAGTTTCAATTTGCAGTCACGTTGTGCTTGACTTCCTGTGATGATTCGCCTCACGGCCACAGCTGGAACGGATGCCCTAAGTTGGCATGGTCACATTTCACTTTATGACCCCACAATGACAAAATTCCCAGTCCCAATTGTGGTCAGTGAGGATTACCTATACATAAATTGAATTCATTTTTCAAAATCCTAAACATAAGGCAATAAGTCTTTGTCATTTTTCTCACTCATTTCATTTCTGGGAATAATCCACATTATAGATTTCACTAGTCCAGGGGTAGGCAACCTTGTCTCTTTTATGACTCGTGGACTTCAACTCCCAGAATTCCTGAGCCAGCCATGCTGAGGGGAAAGGGAGAGATTTCCAAGCTGAGCCATGCTGGCTCAGGAATTCTGGGAGTTGAAGTCCAAGAGTCATAAAAGAGCCAAGGTTGCCTACCCCTNAATGAGATCAGTTGAAGAATCACATGAAGTTGGAAGTAATCTTAAACACGAGTTCCAAAGTAAAGGTATTTTAAGAGATAGTGAAGAATTACCGGTATCAAGCAAAATGCTTGTTTTCAGGTGAGATCATATTCAGTGTTGTAGGGCTACACTACGAAAATGGGTACAGAAGTAGCAGAAGATGGGGACATAGCAAAAAACAACAGTTCTGTTACAGAAGAGTTGTCAGTCAGGGGGAGATATGTATACACAGGCACATTTTTTGAGTTTATGCCAGTCTTAAGTATTTTTCAGGGGTCAGTTTCCAATTCCAATCTTAATGAATCCAATGCTATTCTCATACCCAGCTTGTCACAAAATGTAACTGTGTGATTTGCTACCCAATTCTGATGGCTGATGAAGAAAGAGCTTCACATCAAAACCTCAGGATGGTGGAAGGTGTAGCCAGTGATGTTACATTCACCCACCATACAGGGTCAGATGACTTTAATGCCCTTTAGCTATAAAGACAGTAGAGATAGTCCTTGCTTACTGTCCACCCATTCAGCGGCCGTTCAAAGTTACAACAGTGCTGACAAACAGTGGTCCTCAAAGTTATAATTCTCGCAGTATACCTGCAATCACCTGATTACAATTTGGGTGTTTGGCAACCAGCATGCATTTACAAAGGTCACAAGTGTCTTGCAGTCACATGACTGCCATTTGCGACTTTCACAGCCAGCTTCCAACAAGCAAAGTCAATGGGGAAATCGGCAGGAAGTTTCAATTTGCAGTCACGTTGTGCTTGACTCCCTGTGATGATTCGCCTCACGGCCACAGCTAGAACGGATGCCCTAAGTTGGCATGGTCACATTTCACTTTATGACCCCACAATGACAAAATTCCCAGTCCCAATTGTGGTCAGTGAGGACTACCTATACATAAATTGAATTCATTTTTCAAAATCCTAAACATAAGGCAATAAATCTTTGTCATTTTTCTCACTCATTTCATTCCTGGGAATAATCCACATTATAGATTTCACTAGTCCAGGGGTAGGCAACCTTGTCTCTTTTATGACTCGTGGACTTCAACTCCCAGAATTCCTGAGCCAGCCATGCTGAGGGGAAAGGGAGAGGTTTCCAAGCTGAGCCATGCTGGCTCAGGAATTCTGGGAGTTGAAGTCCACGAGTCATAAAAGAGCCAAGGTTGCCTACCCCTGCACTAGGGCAACCTTATAAGCAAGTCCATAAAGTTAGGAGAACGAACAGAGAGAGGTATTATACCTTGGTTCTGATCCAAACATATGGTGGGTTTTTTAAACAAATTTTTACAAGAGTCTAATAAGAGAAACAATATTTCTGCCTGCTTTCATTGTAAAGCATCAAAGGTGATTTGCACATATCTAAGGTCATACGCTTACCTTTCCAAAATTTCCGAGATTTGCCAATGGAAGCTAACTAATACAAGTTTAGCTACTGCATGAGATACCTAAGAGAAGGGGAGAGAGAGAGAAAGAAAAAATGAATTTATGAATAGTAGAATTACAAAACACGCATGGCCTGCAACTACATTTATGTTTCACAATTTGAGAAAATGTTTTGAGGAAAGTTGAGGATCCCTTCCTGTTTATTGTTTTTCTTTTATGCACTATGCCAGTGATGGCAAACCTTTTAGAGACCGAGTGTGCACAAACAGCCCCGGCCCGCCCGCCTGCTCCGCCACCTGCCCGTTCCACCCCCGCCTACTCGCAGGGCCACCCACCGCCTCCAAGGCCCGCCGTAAATCACCCAGGTGGCCCTGTAGCGCCATGGTAGCCACGCCCTCCACCCGCACCCAGCATCATCTGTGTGAGTCAGGGCGCGAAGACGGAGTCTTGTCCCTGCTGCCTGGCTGCCATGTTCTTGGCTACGCTGCTTTGCGTGGGCTGCGCCCGGGGGTGACTCTCCAGGGGGGGCTGCTGGTGAGGAGGGGACCGCGGGGGGAGCCGGGGCTGGGGCAACAGTGCGCTGCCCACAAAAAGGGCTGAATGCCACCTCTGGCACATATGCCATAGGTTTGCCACCACTGCACTATGCTTTTCAATTTGATATCGTAATAAAACTTAACTGACATCCAAGAGTGCACATTGTTCATTCCAATTTCAAAATTTTAGCACTAAAAGGAAGCCCGAAGTCTGCCTTCTGTAAAGTTATAGGGAATATGAATATTGTTCTTTCTTTTTTTTCCTATTTAGGATTTACTTTAGAGATAAGTGGCAGGTGGCTCACCATATACAGTATATTTGGACCAGTTCTTTTCAGACCTATGCAGCTGGAAAAACAATAAAGAAGGATGGAAGTTCCATTGAATAACATTTGTGCTGTCTTGTGCTTTGAACCTTTTATCTATTAATAACTGGGGGAGAAGATTCACCAGAGAAGATTCCTATCTCAGTCAAACTGCAACACAGTCCAGCTGTTCATGGACAGCATTCACAGTAAGCAATATAGTTTTGCTTGGCTTAACACAGTATGGAATCCTTTTATTTGTGCTTTGTAAATCATGGTTTATGGCTCAGTGGATGTCAAACTGGAAATCATGGATTTTGTATGGTTAAGCAACTCCAATCTGTTCCCAATAGGAGCAAATATATCTAGCACATATGCCATCGTAGCTCCTTCACAAATGGCCGATATCTAGCACTGTGTAACTTTTTTTCATTATTCGTCACTATGTCATCTCTTTCACTTTAACTGTATTCTGAGTACTTATTACTGTGGAATAGAGTTAATGCAAACATCTGTGATAAATACAAAATGCAAAATAACTATCCACAAGATGCAAAATTTGCAAAAATGATATGACTTAACGCTTAAGGTACAATAGACTAGAATAAGAAGAACTAGGTAAAGAACTGAGTACAGAATTACTGCACCCGATCACTAGAAGAACTATTAGCTGTGTAGTAACTTGGTCACCTCTTAGGGAATTGCTAATAATTTGTTTTTCAAAAGCTAGGGAAATTGTACTTAAGCAGCTGAATGAAGGGGACAATATCAGAAATTATGTTTTATGATTATCAGAACTCAAAAAATACACTATCAAATCGTACCCGTATGGTGAAATTGAAAAGGTGTTTAGTAAATTCAAGATCTTGGAACCCAAATACCATGAAAGCACAGCATTTGTCACTCCAAAAATGACTTTCAAACAAGTGTCTTGTCCTCTGAGCTGCAGTGGAAAGTCTAATGAGTGCCAGGCAGTTCTGTAACTCTACTACTACCAAGGACTACTACTGAGGCGTCTCCGTTATCCCCCACTATTCTGAATTTTAAAAAAGCTTCCAGAAAAGCTTCAGAAAAATTATGCACGTAGAAGAATGCAAATTGAAGCAATTCATGTATTTCATAGTATAACCAGAAATTAAGGTTGTCTCTGTTAAGCAACTACCCTAATAAATAATGATGCTTATTAATACAAATGACCCGACAGGCAAATATGTATTTATTATACGAGGGCAATTCGGAAATAAACTTCTGTTTGGTTATCAATAACAGACACTCAAAAGTTCTTGGGTGCATCTAGCGGTGTGCGGGTGAGCATTATCGTGAACCAACACCATACCGGACGTCAGCATGCCCCGATGCTTGTTAGGAATGGCTCATCTGAGTTTTCATAACGTTTCACAGTAGACTTTTGAATTGATGGTCGAACCAACGCTCTGTGCACTTTACTAGCAGTACTCCTTTGGCATCTTCACATTTGGCGGGATTTTCTGTGGCACCACTTCCGGTGTGGTGTTGGTTCACGATAATGCTTGCCCGCACACCGCTAGACGTACCCAGGAACTTTGGAAGCAGTTCCGTTGGGATGTTTTTGATCCACCCACCCCCCATAGCCCAGATTTGGCACTGAGCGATTACTACTAAGGAATTTCAAAGTTTGTAAGACGTTATGACAAGTGCCTCAATTTGAATAGCGATTATATCAAAAAGTAATGCAATGTTGTAGTTTTCTAATGTTAATAATAAAAGTGCTGTATCTGTGTCTGTCATTGATAACCAAACGGAGGTTTATTTCCGAATTGCTCTCATACAATAAGTTATTTAGCATCTGAAGATACAGATAAACCTTGATTTATGATTACAATTGGAACAAGAACATCCATGTTGTTAAGTGAGTTGTACCTGATGTTATGACCTTTTTTGCTGCAGCCGTTAAGTGAATCATATGGTTGTTAAATGAATCTGGCTTCCTTCACTGGGAAGGATGCAAATGGCAAATGCAGGACCCGGGGATGATGCAAGCATAATAAATACGTGCCAGTTACCAAGTGCCTGAATTTTGATCATGTGAACATGGGGATTCTGTGATGGTCGTGAGTGCAAGGACTAGTCATTTTTCCAATGCCATCGTAACTTAGAACAGCCATTAAACAAAAGGTTGTAAGTTAAGGACTATCTGTACTACTGAATCCATACAAAATGATTTGTATCACAGAATACTTACAGATGGCCTGGGTCAGTGATGGCGAACCTTTTAGAGACCGAGTGCCCAAGCTACAACCCAAAACCCACTTACATATCGTCGGGTGCCGGATGGGTGTGGCCCATTGGGTAGGTGTGGCCCATTGGGTGGGCGTGGCTGCGGTGGTAACGGAAGACTGGATGGGACTAAAAAGTTCAATCAATCAATTCCAATTTTGCGAGATCTTTTTTTTTCCCACGAGAAGTTGAAATTGATTGAAAAAAGTTGAACCTTTTTTTTTTTGCACGGCGGCTGAGGCCCAAAGCAAAAAGGTTTTATAAAACCCAGCTGAAGGCCTAGGACTGGGGCAACGGCGCACGTGCCCACAGAGAGGGCTCTGCGTGCCACCTGTGGCACGCGTGCCATAGGTTCGCCACCACGGGCCTGGGTAGTCCAGATCACCTATCATTATGCAGAGGATTGCAAAACTTTGACTAATAAAAAACGCTAAGAACTGGCATCATCTTGATTTACAGCTGGATAGCAGTAAATGATGATTGGATGATTACCTTCATCTCAAAAGCTGGCATTTCCATTTTTTCCCACAGGCCTGATGCATAACAAATGCAGTAAGGGTCCACTAAGCTAAATTACAAAATAGAGAATCTGTGCTGCTCTTTTTCTAGCTACTTAACCAGTATTTATGTATTGCTTTTTGTGCTCAACTCCAAAGCTGTTTTTAAAGATTACAGCAATTACAGCGCATCGTAAAAGAAGCAATTTAAACTTGTAGGATCTGAAAATTTTCAATGAAATGAACGCCTAATATTTGAAGTGAGGGGAACTAAACAAGGGGGAAAATATGAAGATGGTTTTTAAAAGAGGTTAAAAGGGTGACATCATTCCCAAATAACTAAAAGATCACAGTATTAGAAACTTTGTGGTAATAAATACTATAGATCAGGAAAGATGATATCCAGGCTAGGAAGTCCTAAGTAAAAAGGAAGCCAATAGACCAGGGGTGTCAAACTGCTGGCCCGCGGGCCGGACGCGTCATCCAGAAGCCGCACCCACCCCATTGCTGGCAATGGCAAAACCATCCCGATGCTTTGCGTGACGTCACATGACGTCGCGAGTTTGACATGTCTGCAATAGACAAAAGACTTTCTCAAGAGATCAGAAACATTGTCTAATACACAAAAACCACAAGAATAAAGGCTTCCCCTTAAAGAAATATTGGAAGTAAAAATTCCAAAATGCTAAAAAAATTGTTATCTAATTAGACAATCACTAACAATAATTTCAAAACATAAAAAACAGGAAAATGGGGACATGTTTATTGGATGACAGAAGTTTAAACCCCCAAAACTGAAAAAGACTACAGAAAAAAAAAGCAAACTGTTTGTGTCTGTTTTTACTACAATAGATATAAGGAAAATATGTTGGTGGGTTTCCTTGTATGAATTGCAGGCTTCAAGTCCTTGCACAACATTTCTGAAGAATTAAGGTCAGGATGTTGACTTGGCCATTGTATAACTTTAATTTTCCTTTGTTTTAACCATTTAATTTGTGTCACTGTCTTGATGTATGACCTACTTTCTCTTGAGCATTTTCTCTGATGCTCTGTAAAAAGTGTGCCACTTATTATTAAAACTGGCCACTTATTTTTCCACAAAATAGCTAGTCAGTCCTGGAGTCATCCAGAGGGCAGACAACCAAAGAGATGACCATAATTTAGACTGAGATGTAAGCATTGTAAAACAGGAAAGTATCTGTAATGTTGTAATATTTATAACGGGAGTCTTCAAACTTGGCCCTTTTATGACCTGTGGACTTCAACTCCCAGAATTCCTCAGCCAGCATGGCTGGCTGAAGAATTCTGGGAGTTGAAGTCCACAAGTCATAAAAGGGCCAAGTTTGAAGACCCCTGATTTAAAACATATGAAATTCAGAAGCTGACAGCTGGGACCCACACAGTTAAATGTGTTTACCCTGGGGAAAACACCTAAAAAAGTAGGAGACTGGTTAAAAAAAGAAAAACA